GGAGGAGCAAATGGGCAAGAAAATACCATAGCACAGGTTGCGTCCAGGTGGTGGAAGGAACCCCGGAACCCTGGAACCCCGGCCACCACCAAGGCAACAACTTTGAGTTTGTGCGTGCAACGTGTGCGAACGCAGGCAAATCCCACACTCGACATGGGGCGGGTCAGCAAAGGTCGCCCGGGTTGGCTATCGCAGGCACACCTTCTGTTGTCCCTCCCGGTTCCAAGACCTCTGAAGGTGTGCATCTGGACGCCCGCATCCCCTTCCTTGGCATTGTTGTCCTCCTCCTCTACACCCCGCCGGCGGTCACGCTTGTACCTGGGGAGGCGCTTGAACTCAGCAACGCAGTCCACCCTTGTGTTCACTTTCCGTGAACTCCCCACGCTCGCGTGCTCCCCCCACGCCCGCTGCACCATGTTCATCAGGTCCTCTAGGCACAGCGCCCCCTCTTGGTTGATGGCAGAGGCGACAAGGCTGAAGGTGATGTCTATTTCCTGGTGCGTGTGGCCTACGGGCAAAAAAAGATGCGCACCTCCTTGAACACCCGCTCCCCCACTAGCATGGTGCAGAACCCGATTAGGTAGTGGTTTTTGTTGTCCTTTGCCGTATTGTCTATCCGTATGTGCAGCACGGGGGGCAGGCCGGGGCGGGTGGGTAGGAGCTCGGGCGTGGCTTCATCACAGTGGTTGATGTCCCGAACCATCTTGCAGAGGCACATGAGCGTCAGGTTGCTGGACGCCGCCCACTCTGGGAACGACCAAAAACCCCATCACCTATGGCCATAGGCAATGCCGCCCATTAGCTTGGTGGTCAAGGGCAGCCCCAAGTTGTCCGCCTTGCTTTTGGCCAACTCGCGGGGGATTGCCATTTTTACCTGGTCCATGCCATCGATATTCAGGTATAGGACCTCCTCGGGGTGGTCGAGGGCGTACCGCCTCCTTTCCTCCATTGCCCTCCTCGCCCCAGTGACGTACGCCTTGTGCTGCTAGAGTATCCACAAGGCGGCCTCCCTAGCCGGCTCTGAAGTGAGGCTAGTGGTCTCCTTCAGCCTCACGCAAGTGTCGCACTTGGCGAAGGGCTGGTGGCGGTACATGCACCCCTGGGGATGGCAACCACAAAAGGTGCAGGCTCAGGGCGAGTCAATTCTACATTGTCACTGATGGTCCCAGGCGAGGCTGACCGAGGTGCTCGGAAGATGGAGAGGGGCCCTCACATCCATGGGCTGCCGCTTACCTGGAAATGGCATTGAAGCCACGTCCGGTGGAAGGTGGTGTAGGAGACGGGCTCCTAGGGGGGCTGGCGGGCGGCGGTGGCTCGGCAATAGTACTCGTACATGGATTGCAGGGTGGAGAACAGCCCTGCGGGTAGGAGCTCCTTGGCCTTGACCTCCCCGGTGCGCCGGTCCCTCACTGTGTGGTTGGGGAAGGGTTGGGCAAGGCGGCCAACGAGGTCCCCCAGCCAGTCGGTGCAGTCGTGCCTCCTCTTCCCATGGCGGTGAGTCCTCCAGTTTCCGTGGTGGCGCAGCTCCGGCACAACCCCGCTCTTGTCCCGCCCCTGCGTGCTCTTCCGGTACACGGTGTCAGGACAGACGCTATGCCACTTGGCGAACGCCTTGATGCACACCACCCTACCCTCCACCCTCCACTCGTAGCACTACCAACGGGGATCGGCAAGGCCCCCGCTTCCTTCGGGTTCAGCAAAGGATCCCTTCCCACCCGGCAGCGCAAGATGTCCGCCCAAAGGTTGGCGTCCTCCTCGTCAAACTGGCAAATCGCTAGGACGACCTTCCTGGCCACCAGCTCCTCGGGCGAGAAGAGGTGGTGATGCTGGCAAGGGCAACACTATGTGGGGACCCCCACGGCCATGGTGTCAGTGACAGCCCTCTCCACTTTCTCGAGCTTTCTTCTTTTTGCCAGCTTGGGGCAAATCCTCAGCAAGGTCATGCCTGCCCCCTTGGCCATCCGAGCAAGTCGACCTTTGCTTCCTTGGAGAATTTATTGTGCCAAAGCAGTCATGCATGAACTCGACGGTCTCCTCCTGTATGCAGCTGTACGAGGTGCCAAAAGCTGGCATGGCAAGGTGCAAGAGGTAGGAAGTCGGAATCTTGTGAGAAGCGGAATGGCTGCCACTTTGTGGCGTGGCACAGCTTGAAATGGACGATGTCGTCAACTCCATTCAGCACGCAGATCCACACTGTGACAAATGAGCACACTAGCACCAATTGAACCAGCGAAGTTCACAAGGAATCGTGAAATGGAGAAGTCGTCCCGATCACGCACTGGGAGCATGAGGGGGCCTGCCCAGTCGGGGACTGGTAGCGGAGGGCTCTGGTTGCAAGGCAGGCGGGAAGCACACAGCCCCTGGGCAATGGGAATAAAGGAGTGAAAGTCCAATCGTATAGTTTCATCGGTGGATCTGGTCTTGATGAGGCGAAAAGAAAGGGGGCGAGAACACAATGCCCCTAGATGGTTTGCATGCATCGCATGTGCAAACACTGAGCAGGAACACTGGAACTGTGTTTCGGAGATTTTATTACATCTTGACCCCAACACAACCCATGCTATACATTGGGTCTTGTACCATTCCAGCACCTTTTAATCCCCGCCCCTAAGCCCCCGTGGCACCAGCTGCGACAATCACCTTCGCTCAACGGTGCCAGCAATAGGCACAGCCAGAAATGCCATCTCACTAGTCAATTTCATTCGCATCGCCATCCACAGCACTTCCTGGCCGCCCCACAGCGCGCTCCAAAAATTCACAGGCTGCCCACTGGGCGCTCTGCCATTCTCGCAACGCATGCCTTGCTTGCCAGGCGGGCACTGCAAATATTCTGGTAGGGAGGAAACACTTTCGTGCGTGTTGTGCTTCATTTGTTTAGTGCAATATTGCACACGGGGCATACACAATATGTGCACATGCACATTGCAAATGCGACATATTTTTTCTGTTGAAAGGATGTTCTTGCCTACCCAACCAACCAACCCCTTAAGAGGCAGTGCCCGTTGTATGACCTGTACTTCTCTCTGCTACATCTTACCCCCCCACCCCACCCCGGCAACGCCAATCAAAATGCGGATGGAAGCATCAGAGCCAAAACCACTGGAAGATGCTTTGCATGTGTCCCTTAATACCCCCCTTGCAGGCTCTGGCGATCTCTCGCCGTGACGACCGCATCAGATCGCGTGTGCCCAACTCCAGAGGCAGAATGCGATTGCACCGCAACGAGGCACACGGTTCTTGTCTTGAGACGCAGGGGCCCACCATGATGAATGCGCACTTTCACGCGGCTAGAAGGGCTGCCTCCTTCGCCCTTGTTGTTTGCCGCCTTCAGGGGCCCCCACGTATCCAGCTAGGCAGAAGGCGATAGGCCTAGTGGGGGTACTTTTGGGGCGTTGTGTTTTTCTTTAGGGTTAGTGCAGCTAATATACGATGGGCCATTAGAAGACCCCTTTTGTTATTTGAAATGACGTTGAGGGACTTCGTTTGTATGTGAGGAACCTCTTTTGTCCTTTTTCCCGCCATAAATTTCCTCCTCGCATAGACAATTCCATGTTGATGACTGCAGTGTAGAATTAATCAACAGAACCATGGAAAGTATCTATTGGTGAACCTAAAGAGAAAGACCAGATAAAGAGCGTCTGTGGTCATGTAGCCATAAAACGCTATGAAGCATTTACAAAAAAAATGCATATTGTCATTGATTACATTGTATACGGTCTAGTAATTAATGTTAGAAATATGCCCCCCCACCCCCACCCCCACCTCTCCACCAATTGAAACATCAGTCTGGACAAGCCCCCAACTTCTAGCAATCGCTGCATGAGCACAACGAAGCTCTGTTCGCATGAGGGCTCTCTAATGAGAGCATTCCCCCGATACCCCTGTGCTACCATTGCCGCTTTCCTCTGTCAAGCATGCAACATCGGAGCAACGAAAGCTCGTATGTTGCAAGTCTCTTTCGTAGTACGAGAGGACTGATGTGGCAGTGGAGCACCAAAAGCATATTCCAAAATGATAGGAAGCTTTTCTATTGCAAGTGGCTTGTGTTCTTTGCGATTTTCCCCGCCAGCAAGCTCCCAATGCAGGCTTTTGGGCGCTCACAGTGATTCTTTGCCCCCGAAGGACCTAGAATCAAGTCAATGGTTAAGGGTGTGCATGCAGCTATATGGCGCTGAATGGAACAAACGCATGCCAAACTCCCACGGTAAATTAATACATAGTTCCCCCCGGTTGGGTGAAGCGCCTTGCAAAGACCTCTTGCCTATTATAGGCTCTTTCATGCAAGAGGCGGCACTAGGAACAGAAAGGGTGAAAGGCGGTATTAAATTCTCTACGAATACTGGAACGAAGCCCCATTTGCTGCCTTTGAAGTTGCTTTCCGCTCCGCTGAAGGGCCACGCCAGTTTTTAGCTAGAAGGAGGTATCGCTTCAAGCGATTTGCGACAGTGTCACGATCGAATTCCAGACCTGTTTATGCATTCTGTGTTTGATGTTGTTGGATGGTCGCTCATAATTTTCTGACTAGGGCACTAGCTTTTCCCTCTCGTAGCTTGCTTCACTCGCTTTAGGCAGATTGCGGCACAGGATCGCACATAATTCAGAGTCAAAAGCTGTGTTGGTGTTTGGCCCCTCATCGCTTCAAAGATTTCCTGCAAACCAGCTGCCTTGCTTTCACGGGTTGTACATGTGGAATCACATGACTTTCACTGCCGTCGCGAGCCACAAATCAATCAATGCATATCGAGTTCTCTGCAGTTAGTGATGGCATTATTGTCATTGATGGCACGTCGACAATATTTCGAACTAGCTGCAAATTGCCATTTGCAGGTATGGTGGCCGACAGCTGCTTGGCGAATCTGGATAGGCATGACGTGGATACCTGCGTATTCTTCAAAGGCAGATAAGCAGTTGTACAGAATCGTCACAATTAGATTCTTGCCAAAAGGGGTACATGTACAACAATTGTGCTTTTGCAATGTCCAGGTACCGTCCACGGGTCACTAAATTGCTGTTGCGGCTGCAAAAAGCGCCAGGCTCACTGGCAGTGAGCTCTTAATAAGGGAGGGTGGGGGGCTTCTCACTGCTCTCGCTGTTGTCAATAGACCACAAAAGTAGCTCTTTGACGTGCTTAGCACCTCAGCCATATCATCGGCACTCCTGTTTCGGCTGCTCTCATACAAATATCTGCCCCACTCTGCAAGCGCAGCTGTCACCACTCCGATGGCACTTGCGGTCACGCCATGACTGTCCAGAGACTTGAGAGCACTCTGTATCTCTTCACTGGATGAAGGGCGAGAGGAAAGCACCAAGTCCCTCAGGATGTTGTAAAGGCACTCCGTCCGCAAGTCGTCCATGGCATCAAGCCGATCTGCAACCGCCAACCATCGTACAGCTTCCATGTGCTTGTCGCCATGCCCAGGTGCGACAAAATGCAGCCCAGGAGCAAGTTCCCTTATTTTTGCTATGGAGATCCTCATCAGATTCGGAATGTCATATTTGCCCGCCAGCACAATCATCCGGTACGCCTCCTCAGCCTACACATGCCGTGCCAAAATGCAAATTGCACAACTGTTTAGATTCAAATTAAAATGTTTGAGTTCAGGCTGTATAAATTTTGGATTGTTCAAATTTAACTTCCATAGACTTAACATCTCCTAATTTAGATTGTTTAGATCTGTTTTGAAATTTGGACTGTGAGAATTGTTTAAATCATTGGCACGTGCTCAATACAATCTTCAGAATGTGCCATTCGGTGACAGATCGGTGGACACGACAGCAGCGGCGCACTCTTTTGCGATTCCCCCATTTGTCGGGACTCCGCATTTACAGGCCACAACTACATTTAGTGAGGCTGTTGACACTAGGAAGAAAAAGGACCAAATAGCACTTTTTATGAACACACATAAAACACATTTCATCAAAGTTGTGCATGCTAAGAAAACAAAAATAACACAAACCCGTAAACTTTGTACATGTTTGAACACGTGTTATTTGGCCCTTTTTTCCTAGTATGTATTACATCATATAAATATATAAATATATATTGCAACGTTACCCCGTCCGACATAACCACGTCAGGGCAGAAATGTAGACTCAGACAAGCTTCACTCCTCCAGCAAGCAGGCTCAGACGAAGTACGCCATAGAGTAGACAAGCAACAAACAATTTGCCGGTTTGTATGGCGGTCAGTGACACCACCGCACTCTCAGTGACTCTCCACCGAGCAGAACACTTCCAGCTTATTGAAAACGACTTCAAAATGCACAGAAAACTGGGTCGCCAAGGTCGCCAAGCTGTCGCCTCCACCCCCCAGCTGACCCACAGTCCACCGAACCGTAGAAGGAGCACTTGAACGTAGTAGCCACGCAGCCCCAAGGTTCCAAAACCGCTTGGAGGCCACTGAAACGAGTAGCCCAGCCTGCGCTGGGTAGTGCAGCAGCGAAACGGGGTAGCACTACACTGTGGGTGCCCTTTGCTTGCACGACAATCCCGTTAGATGGGTGTCTTGGTCGCCAACTGGGTCTTGACGGGTCAAGAACCCGAGCGCCAAAGCGCTCTGGCGGTGGCACGCAGTGCAGGCACCGCCTGGGGGACACGGGGCCCTGGTTGGCTGCCAAGGGTACCCCTTTTGGCTTGCTCGGCCTTGGAGAAACGGGCCTTACAATTGCCAAAGCTTGCAACAACAACATAGTCCCCCAACCGTTTGGACTGGTCTCCCATACTTAGCCACGAATTCAAGTTTCAAATGCCACAACATTTCAAAGTCCTCTACCGAATATTCCCATCAGAATCTCCTTGACCCGATCTCACATCCCACATCGCCCTACTGGGCTCATGCATCGCACTGCGTGGCTCTCGGGCCACGCACAGCCACTCACCGGTCACATGACCACGCTGAGCGCCCCCCACGTCCAGCCTCTCGTTATGCCGTCCCATCAAACCTCTTCAAAATAAGGTGTCATTCTGAATTCGCTATAACTTCCTCAATTTTCATCTAATTTTCACGTGCGATGGCTCGTTTTGAAGCTAATTAGATGTTAGAACTCATCACATCCTCAAAAGTTGGCTGCTTGCAAAAAAACATGGGTCTATGCAAACAAACAACTTGACCAACAAAATGCACATCTTTAATTTTTCACAGAATTGGCTATAATTTCCCTATAAAGAGCAGAATTTGGCAAAATTTTATCAGAATAACCAGCATCCCTTCTAAAACCAATTTTTGTTTTGTTTGCATGTTTTCTCATGTACTAGTGTAAAGTACTGTCAGACAGGTCAAACACTTGACCATATAGTAACTGCATTTGATCATCCCTCACTTGGGGATAAAAGCATCTAGAACAACCTAACAACACTTTTTAAGTCACTTGTGTCTAACAACATCTATTGCTAATCTATCTTTTGGCTTGGTTCCTCACACATTCCAAGCCCTTCCACAAACCCATCCCCAGAACCTACACTTCCGCCTCCTTAACACCATCTCATGACACGTCTCGTTCGGGCGGAACCCCTCGAGTGCGTTTTGCTCCTTTTTCATCGCTGTCTAGAGGATTGCATCGAGGACGCTATCGTGGATCCTCTCCTCAAGCGAGAACCAATCAAAATTGGCATCCGGTTTCACCCTGGGGAAGCCATAGATCTCCCGGAGGACCTCGAGAGCATTCCACACTACCGCATGTGCTTCAAACTCTGCACTCGTGTAAATTGCAATGCATGCTTCAGCCATGGGAGGCACTCGTCGATGATGGCCAGCCTCGTTCTCAACAACGGCGTTGGAATCAGAGCACCTTCGACCTGTCTTGTTCTTCTAAAAGGATGTCCTTTTGATGTTGCATCTTGACGTTAGTTTGTCACCAGAAGAACAAGCGGGATGGTGCCATTGTTGCACTGCTTTGGTGCAAGGAAAAGCAACGACCCTTTCCATGACCTCTATGACGAACGCCCCTATATGCTTGTACTGCTTCCTTTCCAAAGTCTGACCACGCAGGGTGTGTCAACACACTCCTAGCCCACGTGCGCACACGTGGCCTTTCGACCCTCAATCAAATTTTCAGAATGGCTGGTCATTTGAAAGTCCGATGGTGACCCATGGGCAGCGGTTGGGCCCCCCTATCCTACTTGGTACATATCTGTTCTATAGTTCGATCAGTTCCCTGGCCTTGATTAGGGATGATGAGAAGCTTTGGGGTTGATTTCAATGATGGCCAGCCTCCGATCACTGGCCAGCCAGGCTCTGACCTCCCTACAAAGTTTTCCCATGGCCTTAAGAGGCATCAGCTCATGATCCCGCATTCAAAACTATGTCATTGCCTTCATCAGAGACAGGAAAGTCTCAAGCTTTGGAGGCAGGCTAGGGGGCAACTCTGACAGGGCTTGTTTCTCATTGTTCAGAGCCCACAATGTAGGGCTTTTTCCTTTCAATTCTGCCAATGTTCCAGGCCTGTTATTGAGGTAGAAATATGCAGCAAGTCTCGTTCCTCCTTCAAAATCTCCAGCTGCAACAAGTCGTATGCTCACATCAGAACAGGTTCATTTTTCTCTGCACGAAGCCTTGCCTTTTTGACTTTGACAACAACGTCACTCCAAGCCATCTCCATCCCTTGGTGTGCCATCGTTTCTAAGTCAAGTTGTAATGTCTCACAAAACAGGTCCGGGAATGATGACAGTGACAACGCCCCATTCACAGCCTCTGTCAGCCCCTTCACCACTTCAAACAAATCCTTGTCCCTCTCCAAACCGGCATGCCATTCCTCCAGCACTAGCTCCTTGAAGTCCCTTGCACGTTTCTACGGAGGGTCCCAGTGCACCGTCCCGTCCCCCATGGTGACACTAGCGGACACACCAGGCTCTTCCAACCTCCTTCGCATTGCTTCCTCAAGCTCCTCCACAAAGCACTTCACTTCATTGAGGCGGGGGAGGCTGCAAAATTCTCTCCAGTTCATAATTCTCTCCACCCGGTCGTCCACGCTCCCACTGGGCGAAGACTCGCCTATCTTGGGGTCACAGCGCATCACTGGGGTCCAACTGACATGCCCTATAAATATCGTAATCAACCAGGACCTGTCAGGCTACAAAAACCCATAACTACGCCAATATTTGTCTAAATGAGACGTTCTTATGCTCGTTGGGTAGAAGACAAAACGTATAACATGTCCCAAATTTTGGGCTTCTTCCTCCTTTAGCTCCCTGGTCAAATTCCAATTCCTGAGATGAAAATTCATGTATCTCCTCAACCGTTGGGTCCCTGAGGCTCAAATTTGGTGCCCGAATAAAAATTCTAACTTATTCAGAAGTGGTCAGAATAACTTGAAATTGGTACCCATGCATTGCAAATCGTCCACTGAGTACACAGAAAATCTCAGGAAAATCTATTGATTAAAAATTGTGATAATGGTTTCATAATTGAGCTGCAAACAAGTGTCCCAGCTCTTTGGCTCTTTCAGTGGACCGCCCGAGGCCGCGAACTACAACTCCGCTTGATAGCGCCCGATACACGCCCGATACTGCCCGATACTGGCCAATCCTGGCCCCCTGCGCACCCCCACGGGTGCCAGATTGAGTCATCTGGCGGCAGTACACCCGCTTGGCCCCCCACGCAGCCCCTGCAGCTCCCCTCAGCCTCCGTGCCCTCCCGGTCTCCAGGAGCGACGCGTTCACTCTCCCGAGCTCCCCCGACCAAACTCCCCATGCAGGTTGGGAGCTAGCCTCCCCCTCCATAATCCTGCTGGGTTACTTTTTCTCCGGAGCGTGAAGATCGGCCTTGCAGCCCCGTGAGCCATGACCGCTTGCGGCACTCGCGTCTGGCCTCATGAAAATGTGGCGCATTTGTTGCCTTCACCTTTCGCTTACATTCTACCCAGACAGGCTGCAAAGCCTATCCCCTGTCCGTATTTTCCCCCGGCTACATTATGTCCGCCGTGCCGAGATCGGCAATCCGGCCGGATGGATGGGATGGGCCTCCCGCGGCCCCATGGTTGTGCCTCAATCGCGCAGCACAATCTTTTGGCATTGCTCCGATTTCTTAACGTAGAGCTTCTTGTCGTATCCCTCTGAGCCACCTGGCCTGATTTTGCCACACATGCATGGGTTTCCGAGCCGTTCCGGGCGGCGAGGAGGCAACGGGTGGAGCTCCAGTACATTGCAGCGAGCGGCACCTTGCTGGTGTTTCCATGGTCCTGCGTGGGTTTTTGTATATTGCCCAGCGTGGCGGATGATGCTTCTGGCCTGTTTGAAGCCTACGGTGGCTATGCTGATGGGTCCCTGTGGCACCATTCCGGTGGTGGGGAGGTGGTGTCATTGACGCCCTCAGTCATCCTGGGCTGAGCCTGGGCTACTTGCCACTAATCCTGGGCCTCACGGGGTGCCAGCTGAGTGTCACTAATGGGGCTTTATCTATAATGTAATCTTTCTATATTAATTAGCACCCCGAACAATATATATATATATATATACATATATATATATGCATTTCATCAGTGTTCTGCACGCTAAGAATATAAAAATTAACCCAGCAGTATTTAAAATTTTCTCTAGGCAAGTCGGACATGCGTACATGCACTACTGCCCCAAAGCACTGCCGCAACCCTTTTGCACGTCAGCAACCACTCTGCCACGGATTTTTCAAAGTCCTTCGCCATCATGGCCCGCTGCGCCCCGCCACACCGGCGTTGTGTACATGGGAGGCAAAGCCAACTTTTTGTTGTGGCGATTGGCATCTGTCGCTCTGAGCACCGAGCGAGGTTTGCCGGCACTCGCAGCAAAGCACGCATTGAAACAGGAGCCAAGCGACCTGAGGTCGCGAGTGCGGCGAGTTCCAAGGTTCTTGGCCCCCCCATGATAAACTGCCCTTGGATGGGCCAAAGGGCCACGGGCAAGCGATGGCCGCAGGAACAACCCAGTTGCTGAAGAGCGGCATGGCGCCCTGCATGGGGAGGGGCAGGATAGGAACGCCTCTGGGGTCTTCCCCACCCTTTGCCTCTTAAAGATCGCGTTGATCGGCCCCGTGGCCGGAGCAGCCAAATTCAAATTTTGCAAATCGACAAACTTCACCCGCCCAACCCACCCAGCCATGCCCTCCGGGCCCCGGGTCGATCGAACCGATCCTTACCTTAAAGACGGCGTGCAGGGCCTTCGAGAGTTCACCACGCCGTTTGGCAAGGTGGAGATCCCCTCGATTGTCGCCACCCATCTTCCTGAAAATTCGAATTTGCAAAATCGCAAGTTTTCAACCTACACGCAGCAGCCCCTCCTCCGGGGTGGATCCACGTGATCCTCGCCTCCCAAGGGGCATGTGGGTCTCCCAAGGGTCGGCCACACTATCTACAAGGTGAAGAGCCGGCCGATCGTCTCCACCATCTTTTCTCCCAATTTCCGATTCAACAATTGGCTCAATTCATCACCACAATCCAGCCTGCCCTCCCGCGCGCTCAATTTACGAGTTCGTCTGCAACCAGATGCTGAGGGTGCCCTAAAGGGTGCTTCCTTGCTGTTTGGCTTTCCCGGATCCCCATAACTTCGCCCTTCCTTCCACTTAGCGCGATTTCAAATTCAAAATTCACAATCTTGCATCCCCTGCACTGCCACCTACCACCCACCTCCCTGCCATCTGCTAGGATACACAACCAACCATACACCTGCTAGCCGGCTTACTGTCTGATAGATTGACAGAAAGTTGCATGGATTGTTGATTCTCTTCTTAGTTATGCATTTAATTAACTTGTCAATTCACCAAGCCATTTCGCTCATTCACCAGCCAAGCTGCCTGGCAGGGCCACTTGCCCAACCCAGCAAGGCTGGTGCACATTGTGTTGCAAACTTAATGCACAATGCACACATCAAATACTAGTTGAAGGTAGCAAAGTTCATGCGGTGGCATCGCAATCTTGTTTTGGTTGATGCCTTCCACATTGTGTTCCTGCCAATGGGCGACAATTGGTGCCAATTGATGCCAATTGTTGCGATTGCTGCATTGACTGGTGCCCCAATCTGTTGACCGACCTGGCATAACATTATGCCGGATTAATCTGCTTGTCCAGATTGGTGGACTGATTGGTGCACGCATTGCCGCCCTCATAGAACACTGAGTGTTGCATTGAATGCTTCACCGACAGGTCCTGCAATCATTGCATCGACTGGTGTGTTGGTCAGTGCCCCAAAGCTGCCATCACTTCCATGCCAACTGGCAGCAGTCAGTGCACCGACTACTGCCCCAATCGTTGCGCAGATTAGTGCAGTCACTCCTTTGACTTTTATGCTTGTCAATGCCCCTAATTTTGCCTTTTGTTACATTTACTATCTTCCTCAACGGCCCAAAACCTGCAGTTACTTTCATGCTGAATAAAATTGCAATCAGTGCACCGATTGCTGTAAACATACGCGCACTAACCACATCGATTTGCTGCATGACATTCCCTGAGTATGCATAATTTGGATCCTTAAAAATGAATCCAGGCGATTCTGTTCCATCCATCAAAACCTGCCTTGGTTTTCACGTTGCCATCAGTGCACCTATTGGCACATCTATTGATGGGCAGATAGGTGCACCATTCACGCATTAATTTATGCGCTTAACTTGATCTTGAAAGATAATGTCCAGGTGACTGAAGGTCACTGCGATTAAACATGTTCCATGCATGTTGAAACTCGCTTGCATTCAACTGGCTGCCAAGGCTTATTTTCATTTGGCCTTAGCACAGTACACATCTGTATATATTGCGTCACAACCATCAAGGAACATGTGGGTGACCTTGCCCTATAGCTCAATGCCGCACCGCTGTGTTAATCAGAGGACCACGCTTGCGCAGCGCGCGGGATATCCGGCCTTGTAAACCAAACTCGTAAAATTTTTACACGTTTGAACACGTGTTACTTGGCCCCTTTTTTCCTAGCGAGAAACCTGCAGAAAACGTCCGCTCACCGTATTCATATCGGTCCGCTTTCCATACACGAACGACAGCATCAGAACCGCATCCTCCAAAGTCACAGATGCGTCCAAAGAGATGGCGAGCTTTCCGTCCGCCTGGGCCTTTCGGTCGTTTTTTGTGTCGACAATCAGCCTGCAGAACACACGGGACTGCATGGACAGTATCCCGCTGTTCACTGGCAGGCGCTCGTTCTTCAACACCAGGACTGCATCGGAGAGCTCCGCCACTTCCTTGTGGTCTTCAGGTATGTATCGTGCGGTTATCTTGGCCCCAGCGGCCATCGCTGGGCGGGGGTGAAGTTCCTGCACTGCTGCAAGCCTTCCAGGGTGTCAGTGCAAGATGATGCCCAAACCTGAAAGTTCGTAGAACGGTGAAAACCCTGGAAGGGGTGCATACTGCACAGCTTGCAGCATAAACAGTCCCTGGCTTGTAGGAAAGCAAGTCGCATTGACATTCAGCACATGAAACCGAACAGACGAATCAGAGTGCTAGACAGGTATTTTCATGTCCATAAAGACAAGATGTTGTTTGGAAGCCAAGTGTTTGCTGCAGGAACTCCTTAAGGATTACGTAATTTTTGCCTTTGCCAAAGCTGTCATAGAATGGAGTTGCCATCAGTGTTTGTCAGATCTGAACAAGTGACCACATTATTGCTGCATGGCAGGTGTCAGGCATTCTAATGGCCTTCCAATTGACATCACTGTTCAGTGACTTCTCACTCAAGCACGCCCATGCACATGCGCATGAAGGCACTCTGTCTCAGTCCAGTTCCTTGCTGGGTGTGCCAAAGCCTCATTAACAGCAGTAAGTTCACACCAGTGGCTGCTCAAATGTTACTAGCAAGGTTGACACACCACAACTGGTGCTGCAGAACCTACTCCAAACCTCCTTTCAAAGGCTCTGTTAGAATCTGTGGAAAGGATGCATGCTTATGCTTGCGCCAGTTCTCCTTCTGTGCTGCAGGCAATCACTATCGTGCAAAATCCTTACCTTGCGTTTCGGAACACTCCTGCTCCTTCGTAGATCGAGTATTGGCCGCCAGAAATTTCTTCATTCACCTGCAGAGCGTGAATCCAAGGTGCCCCGAAACGGTCTCCTGGTAGACCACGGAGGATGGGCAGAGTTCCTGCAAGCACAGATCCGTTGCCACAAGTGCTGAGATGGGGAAACATTGATTCCAAGCCTGCAGTGTTTAGAGTGACACAGAGCGAAAGTAAAAGACCAGAATAGCAGTGCATCCCTTGCCAAAATCTGTGTGATGGAACTCCGAGAATAGCCATGCCAAACAGAGCCCATGCACCTTGTGGTGGAATGTTGGTGATCCAGACGATCACCGAATTCCTGCGCCATCTATTGCAACAGGGAGAGCGCCTTCTGGGACCAGTAGTGCAATATTCAGTACCAACCATGAGCTGTACCCTCGAAGGTTTTTCTTGTCCAACAAATTCGGTCCAAAATCGAATGGAAGGCTCATCTGCAGTTGTGGCGAAACTACGGCACTGTGCGCAACAAGCACGCCCATTCAAAAGTCCGAGATGGTCCCAATCTGTTCTGCGGTCACCACCCAGCATTTGAGGGAGAGGCATCCATGATTCGCGTGCGCTACAAGCACCCGTCTCATGCGTTCTTGGCGAAGGACCCACCGCACGCAGTTCTCGTGCACCCCGGAATTTCAAACCACATTCCCAAGATCAACAGAGGAACAGCCTCTTCCGCCGACATATGTCGCACCCTGTCGCGTTAAGAGCCGTGGCATGATCGGCCGAGTCGCCGAAAGTCAATATTCTGTACTGCAAACGACAACGAAGCTGGCAAGTCAAGCAACACGCAATCCAACAATGCAGGGGTACACCCTGCCGTAGCTCTATGGATCCTTCTTTTTCGCGACCAGCACAGCGCACGCCGGCTCTCCACTGGAGGCTCGCCGCGCCTCGCCACCTCGAGCACTACCGGGAAGCTGGTGGGCCCTCAGTCGGTGCGCAGCCGACCCAGCAAGCGCGGGCGGTTGCAAAACCACTGGGCGCGTCGGGTACCAATCAACAACCATCGAAGACTCGCTTTTCGTTATCGTATCCGCTTGGGTCTTTCGCAAGACTGAGAGGGTGAAACGCGGCAAGAGGCAACGCAAGGGGCAGCGGTGCACATCACCGCAACCAGCAAAGTCCGACACAAGATCCCCAATGCCCGGCGAGGGGTGACGTCCAGCGGATGGCGCGAGACGCCTTCGCACCTCGCCGGCACGGCTCAGCGAGCAATGCTCCTGCGGGCGCTTCGGTTGGCACGCTCGGAAAACACTGGAAGGGGGAAGGCGGTTCGCCCTTCTTCTCGCGCCCTTTGTGCCGGTCTCTCCTTCCCAAGGGGCCCAGGCATTTTTCACGATGACGTGCGCGCAGGACAGCCACATGCGCCTCGTGTAGCAAGTTGACCACCTTGTCAATGAGTGGACCCTTCGCGTCCGCGACTATCAATCGGCATCTACCGAAGGTGCTGTGCGCGCACCGCACATGGGATGGCTGTAGTAAGCGGCCGTGTCCGACAAGCAAGGAAAAGAAAGCAAACACCTGGCAATGGGTTGACCGCTGGCAGCTGGAGACCTCAGGTGTAGGAACGGGGGATAAGGAAGCTTGGGGTGGCTGGGACTTAGCTGAGCGGCTGAAGGGAAAGTGGCGGGCAGAAAGTTCCTGGTTTGGAATGGCAGTACATGTTACACATAGAGGTGTCGACTCGAGCCTGGCATGTGTCTGTGCTTTGTTTACGGAACGACCGGCACTTTGTGCTTTACCTTTGGAATCTGTTTCATGTAATTGCCGCTGAGGGCGTAATTTGTTCATACTTTGTGCCACAAAATATCGTTTTTAGCCAGCCGGTAACGAAACTCTAGGATTGGGAAATCTATAGGTAGATGTTAGATTCGTATTGTAATGCATACGCTGAGATTTACTTATAAAAATATACTGTGCAAACTATATGTTGATGGGTCTCCATGTGTGACCACTGACTAAGCAATTGGTGGGCCACTGCCCCAACCTGTCTTACAACAGGTGACCAATCCAAAGCCCAATGCACAAGGCTCCACCGACAAGACTGCAGCTGGTCCTCAATCCGGCCATGAAATCACCCACAATTGAAGCACAAAACCAACAACCTCTTCTTGCCTCTGAGGACCACCAACAGGACGCCCAAGAGCTTCTCTCAAGCATCCAGCCCTGCTTTCTCGCTCAATTCGCCACAACAATTTTACATTCACAGTTTAATGTGTAAAAGCATAATCCACAGAAATGGCTATTTTATGGCTATGTTTTCGTAATTTTACAGCACGTTCAGACAGCCATGTTACGTGGTGAAGGTGCAGACAGTGATCAGTCCTTCATCCCCTCGAGCACCCATAGCACAGCGTCCACCCCACCCTCACCAAGGGCAATGACGTTGGTAGAAAAGGTCGTTTACTGTCCATTTCAATGCATCTGATTGCCCCCCGGACTCCTTGAGTGTGTCTATGTACTGTCTTCATGCACACGAGGGCTGTGCTTACATATTTTTATCCATTTTATGCCAAAAATTGCAAATTCTACTTTTGCATGAGAAACGCAAATACACGCGGTGTTCACGCAGTAAATGGCAAGGCTTTTTGTTTTGCATTTGCGGAAATAATGCTGGCGGATCGTTAGGGATGTCTCATGGACAGACGAAACGTGATGGCCAGGCCCTGCAAACATAACGGAGGGGGGTTGGCACCCACCCCATCTCCCCCACGACTTAGCGGAGAGGGGCATGGTGGAGGTGGGAAAATGGGGTGAGGGGCGTCGGCAGCATCAGCGAAAATCGCCGCAGGGTGGGCGAAGGGGGTAGGGTGTGTGTCGTTGGCACCATCGGCGGCAGTTTCAGAGCCCACCATTCCTCAGTCGACGCTAGGGGCCCCCGGCTCTGATGTTGCAGCCTCCAACGCGGAAATCTCTGGCGTTGGTAGTAGTTGGGACCCTTGAGACGTATTCATCCTCATCAATGTTGCTTTGTTGCTGTCAGACGCTTAGACCTTTCAAACTGGTGCTTGGGAACTTCGAGATGACATCTGCCAAATTTCTGTCACCTTGGATTGTGTATAGCAGAAGCTGTTTTTTGCAATGAAGACTTTCTTTTGCATACGGAAAAGTTAGTCAGGTACAGAGAAAGGAATGCACAAGTGCAAAAACACCTTGCCAGTGGGCACACAACGTTTTGTGACTAAAATCAGCAGCTCCTAAAACGGGGTGCCATTGTTTACCACAAGCTGACTTCGAATGGTATCTGAAATCTCTGTTCGGCTTTGGAGTCCAGAAGCTGTCACTAGTAGAAAACAGGTTAGATGACACAGTCCTGACATGGTCTGCTCAAAATGCAACTGTGTACTACTGTGTACTCATCTCAAAAGCATACCAAGCCAACAAATCATGCCCATTCCCAGCTGCAGCTCAGTTCGATCCATCTACATCATAAGGCAACGCAGATGCACCGCTTCCTACTTAAATCGCCGGCAAATGGCGACGCTATGTTGAAAATTCACCTGGCATATCGAGAGAACGGCGGCGGCCTTGGCTGCATTTGACCAGTCTACGAATATCTCTTCATACAGTGAATTAAGTTATTCAGTCAAATTTCATGGAAAGAACATTTGGCCTCCTCTCGCATGAACTAAAGTTCGGCTACAACACCTGCAAGAGAAGTAGTATCACTAGGAAAAAAAGGGCCAAATAACGCGTGTTCAAACATGTACAAAGTTTACGGGTTTGTGCTTTTCTTTTGTTCTTAGTGTGGGTAACTTTGATGAAATGTGTTTTATGTGTTTTCAGAAAGGTGTTATTTGTTCCTATTTTTGCTATGTATGTTGAACTCTGCTGTGACTGGAGGAATGCACACTTTACACAAGTAGTGTCCATATTGAATTATGCTGTAGTGCTAGAAGCCACGATCGGCCATGCAGCATATGTCAAGGAAAGCCCAAATCCAGAGCTCAAAACGTTGTTCATTGGATTGCGTTTTCTCAGCCATCCAATCTCACAGGTTGGAGCATGGGGTGCCCAGCAGATTGACAATTGTTGGATATCCTTCATTTCCGGACATGGCGGTCATCAAGGCTATGAAGGCAGCTTTCTTATTTATTTAGGTTTTCAGCTTTTACTTCTTCTGTCTTTAATATTTTCTCTGTTTGGAAGATAAATTTTGTTGAAAATCCGGCTTTTCAATCAAACAGGATGCCAGAAAACGAAAGTTCGGATTCCAGCAGTCTATACCTCTATTTTCAAGATAAAATATTCAGCCCTGGCCATTGTAACGAGCATCGAAATTGCCCTTGCGGAATCTGAATAATGGTCGTAGAGTCCGTAGCCCTGCATAACCCCACAGTTGTCAGCCACTCGCATGATTGCTGGTGGTCATAACATCGCTACTACTGACGCAACACAGGGAACCGTCCATCACGTGGCATAACACTTGCCAGGCACGCTTCAACATGTTCGAATCTTCCTTGCAGAGGGCCGCCGTTGCAACGCCGACGATGTTGGAGGTGTTCGCTGTCCTCGACATCTAATGTGCAGACACGCTACGAGAGCGAATTCGCTCGAATGGCTCTCGAAAGCCAAGCTTCGAGCTGTTGAAGTCTATACATGTGCGGGCTGGCGCTCAAGGGCTGTGTTATAAAGTTGCATGGACATTTTGCCGTGGTTGGTGCTTGAATGGAGACCTCCCTTGCGCAGCTGCTCCAACAGTCCACATGTGGTCAGTAAAGTCCAATCCTTGTATGCATTTGGTGCTAAACATAGCTGGTTGTCTGTGTTCCTTTGAAAGAAGTGGCCCTTTACATCTAGCTATTCGTGTGCCCAGAACAATCAGGTGCCAAGGGATGGTCGATTTAGTCATTTCAATTGCAGCGGTCACATCGCTAATTTGTTGCCGCTTGACCGAGATTATGGCTGTCGCCATATCTTCCACCTCGCCAAAGGCTTGGGAGGCCTCTCCCAGCTTACTTTGGGGGGAACGGTGGAAGTCGAAATGCCCTGGCCCAGAAGTTTCAAACGGGAA